TTTTTTTTTCCAGGTTCTAACTTTTACTAGTTTATTTGAAAAAAATCCTGGAAAAAGCTCTTGGATGTAACAATAAAAGGTGAATTTTTCCTTTTAATGTAGCCCTGTAACACACATTCTCAAACCTCAAGTCATCCAATATAGCTTTTGTGTTTTTTCTTATAATTCATGTGTATGAATGCATAGAGCTGCCATTTTTTAAACGAAAAAATATAGAATATCACGGTCTTTTTGGATTTCTTTTAAGGCCTTTCGGTATAGCCAAGCTGAAGTAATGCCTATGCATTGTTTTGTTATTATGGTAATAACAAGTTCTAGTTTATAGTAATATATAGCACTTAGTTGGGACTAGGAGCAATGATATACTGCTTTTTAGTAACTGATAAATAGTATGTTTTTATATATTTTAACTAGAAGTGAGGAGAAAAAAGAAACTATTTTTAATGTATATAAAACATACTCTAATAAAGTATATGCATAAAATGATATATTAGATAAGAAGAAAAATTAAAAAGAAAACAGCTTATAATATTCCTGATTAATTAGAGTTCCTAAATATAAAAACAAATGAAAGTACCTTGTCATTTAAAAAATTAGCACATTATACAACTTTTACATATCTCGGAGGAAATAAAGATCTTGTGACACTGTTCTGAGGAATCGTTACCTTTATAAAAATCGAAGGCTTAATTTTGCAAATACAACTTTCAAGCTGTATGAGCAAATTTTACTTACATGAAAGGCACAAGATAACATCACGTTGAAGAACTTTATCTGTAAATTTCTTAAAGTCTAGTCACAAGTTACTGGAAACTTCATAAGGAATCACAGAACTGTTTTTAACATGATATTCCGATTCATACTGAGAACTGCATACTCTTTATATCACAAATATAAATTGAAGTAAGAGTGAAGATTTGGAGAGAGAACAGTTTCTTATTTTGGATGCTACCTGCTTTACGCAGTGTTGGTTACTCAGAGCAGAAAATTAAAATTGAATTATTTTTCATTTTCTACAGCTTATCTGCTGTATTTTCAGTTTGTAAAAAAAAACGTATTCTGACATTACTGCAATTTTTGAAGAGTCAATCACTGAAAGAAATTTTAAAGTAAAGTCCTGCTCTGCTAGTTTCCTACATTGGAATACAAGAATACAGGAAGTGCGTTCAACAGGAAGTTACACAGTTCTACAGTACAACCTGTCTAAAAGACTTGCAAGGGACCAACACAGTGACTTTATCTCTTCAGATCAGGCAAAAGCAGAGGCAAATGAAAAATGATCTTTAAAAAAAATAACATATTGAAAACATTCCTGTATGAAAATGAATACTTGTTTGCACTTAGATTTAGTGCTATAGAGAGGAACTGAGGCACAATGAAACTAAGTGCACAAAGGGAACATGTCTGAAATAAAGCAATTTTCAATGTGACTGAAACTCTTCACCATTAGATATGACTTATGATAGGGTTGGAGAACTCCTTTTTCATATTAAAGAACATTACAAACACCAGGGACTGGCCAAGTTATGTTTTATAAATAATATGTAGGGTGATATTAAAATTATATTGCAACTAAAATTCTAATTTTTAAAATCACTTATAATTTTGATTTTTCATAAAATTACTGGCTTGCTAAATTAAAATTAACTTCAAATCAATAACACCTTATTAAATTTCTGGAGGACTATTAGTTTAGCAATGATAATGTACATTTCTCAGTTTCCCAAACAAGCTCTACCAGATACACATAATTTCTTCATTTATGTCAGTATGAGATGTTCTTTCCATAGAATTTAAAGCATTTTTCAAAAAGGTTGAATATGATTCTTCAAAGAATAGCTCTTCTAATAGCGACTTGGTAGAAACAATAATGTTGTAATTGGAAATATGTTGCCTTGGATGGTAACTGTTTGCTTATTCTATTCATAATGACTCTAGCAACGCATGCCATCTATGTACTTGCTGTCCTTTTGACTCTTTCATTTCAGTCCAGTGATTGAGTTCTTCTTCTCCAGAGCTGTTGAGACCTAAAGAAATCCAGCCTATCATCTCTTTACTTCTCATGCTGCATTTGTTATATACAGACAGTGTGAGTGTCACATCAGAAAGCTGAAATAGGGCCCCTTGAAAAACAAAAGTTTCCTTGTACACTGGATTTGGCTGCCCTCTGCAGATGGGTATCTTGCATTTGGACATCTCTTGATCCATGGATTTCAGCAGAGTTAACTTAATATATGTATTGGGTGGTCTATTTGCTGCCAAATTTTTGAAGTGGCTG